CCTAGGCTGCAGTGTTTCCTCACCATCAGTCTGTCTCAAGTTAATGAAGCACTTTACAGCCACTTGTAGATCAGCTTTCACTGTTGAATTTACTGTGCACTTTCTAATTAATTTGGAAGACTAAAGCAACAACTGATATTCACTGGTTTCTCATTGTTTCTCCCTCTGTTATTTCCTTATCTGAAGTCACAAGTATAGATAATAAGATATTTGCATTATCTCAATGTTTTTTCTATTGGAAAAATATAATAAGTGAAGAAGGAAATTCAGAAATTCTCTTGCAGTGGTGCAGAATTATGACAGAGGAACTTAATACACAATATTATGGTATTATGGTAAACTATATGTGAAGCAACAGATGTATAGAAAAAAAAGAGTAATATATTACTATTATAATGTAAGAAGAGAAAAAATTACTCAGTTCTTGTATGAATAAATTTCAGTGGTCTCATGAATAGCTTCATATAATTTAAAATACATATTCTGCATAATGAACTTGCAAGCTAATTACTCTTGGATTGCCACAGCAGAGTATAACTCTGTCGTCAGTCTGGGAGCGTTTTGAATTTTGCCAAAGTTGTGAGGTGGATATAGTTGAAACTGGGACCGAATGGGTTTTCCAATCGATATAGCTACAAATTGCTGCAGGGAGTAACTGTGATCATTGCTAGATTTATCCTCTTTTAAAACAATAGAGTTAAAAATGGCAGATGGCAGTTAATGATTAACATTCCTAGTAAACAAACTTTTTGCAGGGTTATATTTAAAGTGGTTGTATGTATGTAAATAGACAAGGAGCATGAGCTATGCAACTATAATTGAATTATATTAGCATAACTTAAGGAGAAGTTCAGTAAATAACAAACACCTTAATTAGCTTGCACAGGATTGGGAGGTTAATGACATACCCTCGGTAAATGACTCTTCAAAGTGTTTGGCTACATGACAGTTCAGAGCCAAAGTAGTACCCGGTGCCCCACCCTCTGTGCTGGTGTAAGGTAACTTAACTCTTACCACTCGAGCTTGGTCTCTGTTGTGATTTTGGAGGTTGCAGCAAATGGCTTTTTTGCAGAGGGCTGGAAACTCCCCTGTGGAGTGGGACCATACAGTCCAGCTGTAAACTTGCTTGTGGAGTGGGCGCTAACAGAAGATACCAACTCTTCATGCCCCTTCAGTCAATAATGGCAATAATTGTCTGCTTATAATTACAGGGTTTGCAGTCTTTCCTTTTTCTATATTTTTCTCATTATTTTTGTTGATGCCATTTCTGGAAAATATGGCAATTGCATGCTCCAGTGGGTTCAAGAAGTGTAATTGAATCTCATTGAAACTATCAGATCTGTGCATTGTAGTGCAGCCTGAGCTTGGCATCTTTTTAGCTCAGATGTGTGTTGTTCATTGATACTCATTCTCAAATCTTACTAGTGGAGTTAGAAGCCTGACTGAAACCAGTAGTGATTTCTCTGTTTATCATCCCAAATAAAGAAAATTAATTAGTTACCCGTCTAGTTAATTATTTTAAAAATACTGGTGAGTCAAGAAACTATATGCAAATTAGTAAAAAATTAATTTCTGTTACATTTGAGTAAGCTGGGAAAGCACATTGGATTCACAAGTGTTTGAAATTTATATTCTTCTCTCACATACGAAACTGTACTGTAAATAGGCCAGCATCTCTCTGGGGAAAAAAATGTGAATTTTGCTGACAAGTAGAGGTCTCTCAGCAGAAAAATACATGCTGACAGTTTGACTCAGTGGCCAATTGACTGATTTGTTTCCTCCTTTTTGTTTCTATTTTAGATGCTGAAGAATACCAGCCTCCAATATGGAAATCATACTGTAAGTATACAAGAAACTTGAATAATCTTAGTACCTTACCGAGGTGTCAGTCACTGTTAAGTCTTTTCCCTGTCTTAGTTTAGAAGAAAGACATAAATGTACTAGGTGCTTGTAGAAATTAATGTATGGGACAGCAGCAAAACCTGAATCTTTTTGGATTTCCATGAAGCAAGGGCAGCAGGGTTATGTGTGCCAGACTCCCTGGGTCGCCTTACAAATGTGGAAATCCTGGGTTTCATGGTTTCTCTGCTGAGATTTTCAGGAAGGATTTCAGAGGTAGAGGTTAATGCTTCATGTGTTTACTAAAGGTCAGGCTTGAGTATACTTGTCTTTTTATATGGGTCACCAAATCACTTTAAGATAATAATATTTTTTGATCCTTAGCAATAGAAGCTGATTTTTGAAGTGACAGTTTAGAAGTTGGAGACAGCACTATCAGTTCTTTGAACCTTCCTGTCTGCCTTTAGAAAAATCATTTACATAGTGTGCGGTGCAGAAGTGCATATTTTATGCTCCCTTGCTTTGTTCCAAATGTATTTTCTAATAGAGTAGCACAGATCTAAGACAAAATATTGGCTTTTAAATCCCTTGTTAAAGATGGCCTTTAAATTTGATCTTTGTATTTTAAACCCTTACTGGAACTTTAATAAAAAGTAAGTAGCTTTGGGTATAGAGGCTGTTTTATTTTTTTGTTTTCAGATACAGAACTATCCTAAGTGTCTCTTTTATTGTGGCAACTCCAAATTCAGTACAGTGCCATTACCAAAATGGAACTACAAAAAGACAAGGATAACAGTAGTTACATGCATGTACATGTATAATTTTAAAGACTGGAATAAACTTGCTAACTTCACTTATATGCACATTAAACTACCTTGCTGACTTCAAAGACATCACCTCTGTTTTACCCGAGAATGACATTCTGCCCCAGAATGGACTCAGAGTTTTTCAACCAAAATTTGAATATCCCATTAAATTTCAAAAATTGCTTTTTAGAACACTGTTTTCTAGAGACTTTGTTGTTGTTATTGCAATGTTTTGAATGTGTAAGAGAAACCTTCTAAAAAGTCAACAAGAGTGTATCTGAGTTAGACCATTCATGCATACTTTGCTGAGTACTTAGAAAGAAGCAGACAGTTGAGTGATTTTTTTTAAAAAAGAGGAACCTGGCTTACTCAAAATCAGTGAAAAAGCTCCCATTGACTCTGACAAGACCAGTATTTGAAATGACAGATGTTTCCTTGTTAGCAGGAAGTTTCCATTAAGTCAGGAAACAAGCATATACCTTTACTTACCTGCTCTTAGTTGGCCTAATGATGCAGCAGGCAGATCACTGCATGCAGTGAAAAAGTTTGGTTACTTTTACCTGATAGCTTACAAATAGTCCAAGAAAATTTTTTTTTTAAATTAAAAAAAAAAAAAAAAGAAAAAAATAATTAATTCATAGTCTATGAATATATTTCCTCTTCTGCTACATGAAGGATGTCAATATTGTGGTAATGACAAAGTCATGGCCTCAGCATCTGAACTCCATGCATGAATGACCTTGGAAGAAGTTACACAACTCCAAAATGCAGAAAATAGTTTAAGGTTACAAAAATTTACTGCTGAGACTGCTTAGCTACAGATACACATTTTTCTTTGCAATGTTAGGTAATGTATACTTCTTTACTCAGCTAGAAAAATCCTAATCTGGTAAATTAATTATAGAGGTTATGTCTAGCAATAGTGTTCGTTTGTGATTCAATCCATTGTCCTGTCTCATCACAATTTTAACTTAGTGTATGAATTTCATGCTTAGTACTCTTGTGTTTACTGCAAATTTAACAATTAGTTTTGGTCTATTTTAGCTAGTAGCTTTTAAAGTCTCCTAACTTATAGTAAGATACTTTGCATACAGTTTTGATTTCTGTTTTAAGTCCTGCATAAATTTAGTTGCACTATGTTGCCTATTATTGACATCATGATCAAGGGTTCAGTCCTTCTAGATTCTCAACAAAGGCAGATTTTCCTGTTTATGCCAAGTATTCAAATAAACAGTATTGCACGTGTCCATGGACAAATGCTGATCAAAGTGGAACAGTTTTCAGAATTGAAGCCTTACTGTTTTGACATAATGCATAAGTTTGTATTCAGAGAAGATGAACCCTTCTAATCAAAAGATCCTCATCTGCTTATGAAGAATTGTTAGAATTTCACATAAATTTCACAGGTTACAAAGTTTTTCAGACTTTTCCTGATAGCCCTGGGACACAAAAAATAAAAGAAATGGCAAGAATAATTTTGTAATACCAGGAAGGGACTTGGGAAAAAAAATCTAGAAAGTTTCTAGCATCCAGCAGGGTCTAGGCAGTGGGTTTGATTGCATTTATACCTGAGTAGCAAATCAACAAATAAATATCAGATAACTGATTTCTTTGTGTAGTCTGCTGTGTGTTAGGCGTATTATACAAAATAGCATTTTGCCTTTTTACTATCATTGAGTTAGTAAAGAAAGGAAGATAAGAATCATAGAATGTGGGTTGGAAGGGCTTCTGGGATGAGTTAATCCAGCTTCCCGCTCAGAGCATGACTGTTGTCAGGTCTAGAGCAGAACAGCCACGACTTTACATAACAGTCCTGAAAACCTTCAGGGATTGAGCCTCTGCCATCTTTGTGGGTAACCTGCTCCAGTGCTGCACTGTCCTCTTAGAGCAGAGACAATGATCTTACCTGCTTCATGGGATGAGTAGGCAATTTGTTTGACTGTTGAAACAGGGTAGTCATTGGTTTCCAGCTACAGGACGTATGTGCTTGAATTTTGAAGAGATATAAAACCACTCTTTTTCTCCTTTTACCACTGTTGAGATTGGCATGTGCTAAGTCAGTCATGTGTCAATGCCACTTCAATGTCTATTTGCATTATTTAAGATCAGTATGCTGGTGTGAAGCAGTGTGGCAAAGCCCAGAGCATCAGCTGATGCGATGCTTCAGCTCCTCACAAAGTTTCTGTGCCTTCTGCCCTTCATCAAATAATAAGCACAGTGTCCGAGACTCATTTTTGTTAGAAATTAAGTCTTTGTTTCAGCCAAGCACTTAGGTTCCTAATTAAGCATGTGAGTAATCCTGCAGAAATAGGACAGCTCATATTGTTCAAGCTCGGCACATGGATAAATGCCTGACTGAGATGAGGCCGAGGAGGTAAAACTAAGGAACTCTGCGAAATATTCTCAGAAGAAGGCAGTATGTTTCCTTGCTGCTTTATAAAACCGATGATAGGAATTTTTCCTCTCTGCTGGAGCATCACTGAACACTCATCATAGGTGAGTTAAAGGAGAAAGCTCGAGGTCCTGACACACTGCAGAATGAAAAAAAAATATGAAGAAATTGCTGATAGCCCTTCTTTCCTGGCAGAAGAGGAGTAAGTGTTATTTTTTGCATGTCAGCCCTTTGTTTCTTAGACAGATTGGATTTTGGAATTAGACAGTTCTTCCTAAAACATATTGTAGAATTTCCCTTATTCATCCCCTGAGACAACTCACGCTGTAGCAGGAACAAAAGAGAGAAGGATATATTCTAACCAGCTACTTTACATCTCAAAGGAATGTTCCTGTAAAAATTCAATAATAAATTAGAGTTTTGTTAACACTGTAAATTCGGACATGATTATGATACTATGAATGCAGGCAAACTCTCTGAAGTCTGAAACTGATAAAGATGTTCAAGAGCCAATTAAAAGCTACAACATTTTTCTGTAGCAGTGCTGCATTTTTGTCTAATATTTAGTGTGTATTATTGCTGTACATTTCATTTGCATCTGATGCTGAACAAAAAGCCACTCCTAGTCTGATGCTCTTCTCTGAGCAGTAATAATACATTTTCTTTTTGCATGAAATTGATTTTTTATAAGATTCATTTTCTCAGGTCTAAGATAATAATGCATCATTATGTTCAAGTGTCATCTTTTTTATGATCACAGCGGGTTTGTCTGTAACCTGCCTGTCAGTTCTAAATGCTGGAAATAGACTGGGTCAGATGTTAATCACTGCTTACCATTGTATTAAATAAGTGTGTTTTTCTGTTATTTCAGTTAACCATATTCTTATACATTGGTTTCTGTTTTGAAATTTTCAGAGGTGGAGGTGGGAAAATGAGGCAGAAAGGCAAGGCTTGTTTATCATTTGAGCAAGTAGATGGGCATGTACCTTCTGAATCTGACCATTCCCTGGGCTGTGCCGGGGTCTCAGCAATGTCAGCTACAGTGTGAGTGCCCAGCACTTTGGAAAAAGTGTATAATGAAATCAGGCAGAGCTGCAGGATGTTCAGCACTTCTGAAAATGAGGTCACTTAATGAGGTGCCTGTGCTCATTGGAACTTAGCTGTAGGGCACATTTTTCTCAAGTCACCTTAGCCATAATATTGCACTTGTATTCAAAGCCCATTAGCAGGCTTTCACATAGCAATCATTTGAAGCAGAAACAGGAGAGACCCTTTCTAAAAGAGAACACAGCTTTTGGTAGGGTCACACTGGCTTTGCTCCCTAATACTTTAGTCTGTGAGATACTGCCTTTCCTTGTTTTCCACTTTTTTTACCTTCTTCACCCTTACATTGCTGTGTGTCTTTTTTGGGCATCCTTGGCAGCTGTGTGTCAGTCTGTCTCTTCTCTGTTGTTTGTCTCCCATTGAACTGCTTGGTGTCCCTTACCACAATGCCAGTGGTGGTTCTCAGTTCTTTTCTCTGTTCCTGATCTGTCTTCTCTCCCTCCATCTAATGGTTCTCTGTCTCTCTCCTCTTGTTGTTCCTCTGGCTTGACTTTCTGTCAGCTTAATGCCTACCAATTTAAAGCTAATATGGTCAAATCTGAATTCTTTATGTTTCACAGGAAACCATTTCCCATTCATGACATTTTCTGTGATTACCACCATTCACAACCTCAGTCGTGCTTGGGCCATTTTCTCATCCTGCACACTTAGCATATAATTTATTATTATTTATTTGTATAGTAATAATCTTACCACATTTTCTTCTGATGTATTTCTAAATCAGATATATTTCTCAGTCCATATTATTGTGCAGATTAATTACCCATGTCTCTCTGAGAATGACAGCAACCTTTTCCAATCTATTCAAAATACAGTTGTTAAGAGGATTTGTCTTCCTTGCACTGATTCATCCCACTACATCCAATCATCATCCAGTTTTTTGTGTTTGCTTTCAAGTCTTTCATGTACCTGCTCTTTCCTGTTAATCATTCCTTCCTTTGTTTTGTAAAATGCAGACTCTTCTCCCCACCATTGCTTCTCCAGAGTTATCAGCCTCAGAGATTCTTTTGGTTATTTTAGAGACCTCTTTGCTTTTTTCCGTTTCTTATAAATGCAGCACATCACAAGATGGGCTTCCTATGTGATCTTCAGACCAACTTGTTTTGCACCACTGTTAACAAATTTTCTTAGAAACAGCCACTAGCTTAATATGCTGTGTCAGTTAATGTTTAACAGATTAGATCACTAAAAATAGGATTTTTATGAAGTATTATTTTTCAGTTAAAATTTAAATGAATTAATTGGGGAAATAGATAATTAAATGAGAAGCAATCATATTCTTGCAATGTTTTGAATCCTTAGAGTTCTTTCTCTCCATTGAAAATGTATGTGGGAAAGGAAAAGTTCCTATTTTTTTACTATCTTTAGTAGTAAGCATCACTAACTTGCTGAATCAGTAGTTATGCTGATTTCAGACATTCAGAAATTAACTCTAAAATTGGGCTCCAGAATAATCAGAGTTTTAAAACATTATCTGTGATTTTTGAACAAAATTTTCATGCTTTCTTTGACAATTCATTTGGATACACAAATCATTTGGTCACAAAAGAGTAGAAGTAAGTCCTTAAATCTTAGTTACATAACTGCAAGAGGCAAGAAAGACCAGAAGTTATCTTGTGCAAAAGTAGTGGAAGTTCTGACAGTGCTGAATGATGCAGGGTGTATCCAAAGACTGAGTACAAACTCAGAGCTAGACCACATCCATATGCATTAAAATTGATAGAGAATATAAGAAATTGTGAACTCTCTGTGCCCCTCTAAGGAACCAGGGATAAAGCTTGGGTTGGGAAAAGAAGAGGTTGTGGGTTTTTGCACTTTGACATGAGCAGAAGGGAGAAGCCCTCAAAGCTTTACCATCCCCTGTGTGACAAACTTGGGTGCAGGCTGAAGGACTTCCCCACTTTCTAGATTTCATCACTTCTTGCCCCATTAAAAGAGAAGGTGCACAAGGTGCGAAAAAGTGCTGAGGGCTAACACCTACTATTTCCATTCACTTTCTGCAACAAGGCTTCTGTGTTTATCAAACCCACAGGCATTTCTATTCCTCCCATAATCTACCACCTTTCAGGGCATAATTCTGAGCTTCACTACCATCATGAAGAAAATCATCCTAGAAACTCAGTCTTTTAAAAGAATTCATAGACTCAACATGATCTTTCCAAATACAAGAAGGTCAGCATACAGAAGGCCTTTCTCAAGGGAGGGAATCCAAACCTCTGGGATTTTTACTGGAGTTACAGAGAGACAGTCTGTCTGTGCTGGAATTGATTACTGTCATTGCATGTCAGCTCCTTCTCACGACTCTGGAGTGGAAGGGAGGGAGAGGATCTCATTAAATACATGCAGTGAAGAGGCTGGGGCCAGGCAGCAACTACCTCTAGCCTCAGGTCTCTCTGCTCCAGCCCTCAGAAGATTTGCAAAATTGATCCAGGGCCATTTGAATAGGACATAATGGTTCTGAAAGGAATGTTTGCTTGCTCTTCAGTAATTGCCAGCAAATTTTGAAATAAATTATGAGATTGCGATGAGCCCTTTCAAAGGTACAGAACTTTTTCTAGGCCTATCCAAAAAACTGCTGGTGCTACTGGTAAGCAATCTGTTCTTGGGTTGTTGCAACACAGTATATGCAATAGTGGGATTTTATCCTGAGATACATCTAATAATTGGTATCTATTTCTCGCTAGTCTTCCCTAGTATAAAAATGTAAAAAACAGTACAAAAGGAGATAATACTTCTAAAAGTTAAAGCATTGTTCACTTTAGTTAGTTTGCAGGTCAACAACCAATTTTCATATAAATTACTTAGACACACTGCAATACCTCATTTTGCTGTCATATTCTTTACATTTGCATTTTTCTCTGCAGCCCCCGGCTAAAAAGACTCATCTGAATAAAAGTTTGTGTATGTTGCCATCTTCTAATGATCTGTACATTTTTGTGTTTGACAGTGTATCAATTGCAACAAGAGGCACCACGTCCCAAGAGAATCATCTGTCCTCGGGAGGTCAGTTTTTTTGCTCTACCTAGTTATATCTGATGAATTGTCAGCAGCATATGACTACCAAAAAATCTTTTGTGCAGTCTGTGGGTAATATTTGCTTTAGTTTTTCTGTGCCATTGTTTTATATAATCATTTTTCTTAAGGTTGATTAATTAAAGCAAATTAATATCTGCTAATTAGGCATGGCAACCTCATTCTATCACTAGAAGCACCTTCATTAGACAAATGCTTATTAATCATTGCTTAATGTGCTTTTCTGTATACTACCTGAAGTTTTATGTTTCCTTGTCTAAATGAAGGTGTATTTTTCTTCCTGAATCTGCATAATAACATCTGTGTGATATGTTTCACCATGATACATGTAGCTTCAGTTTGTTGAATGCCAAGTATTATGTTCAAGTTAAAATACTGAAGTGATACCCAGAGAGCTCTGTTCTGTCACAGAAACTTTAAAGGTTGTAGGATATTTAGAAATCTGCAGGGCTGCAGGTTTGGCTGAGTTATCTTGTCCCCCTATTTTCTTTTGCTGTATTTCTTCCACTTCTACTGACTTTAATATGTCCGTTCCTCAACCTGCATGGCAAAATAGTAATGGAACACATATGTAGATGTCTCTGCTCAATCAATAAGACTGTGATAGCCTTATCTTCTATAATGTCAGGGACAAATTTTGTGCAAATAGACACGTAATACTAGTAACAGAAATACTAACTGCATGAAGTGATTGCACAAGGTATAAAAGATGATGTGCAAGAAGACAGAAACTGCAGCTCATGTCCTGATATGTAGTTGTACTCCCAAACATCATCCTGAGTCATGCTTCCCACACTGTGTACCCATGAAAGCAGAGTCCTGGCATCTGTCAAATATTAAGGTACTGTCTCAAAACACTTTTGTGTGGGGCAGGAGGTTTTGTATCAAGGCACAGGTACTTGCCTCGGTTTGTGAAGAAAATCCATTGCAAAGCCAGGAATTGAGTACAGTTTTCCTGAGTCCACCCAGTGCCTTAACTAAAAGGCCATTGCATTTTTCTCTCAAGTGCCATTTACCAGTTTGAGGGCAGGGAGAGCAGGGTCTTGGCCTCAGACTGGAAGTCTTCAAGCCCTGTCAGTTTGGGATGGTCTCAAAACATATACACTGGATGCTAAGAAGGGCAAGTAAAATACCAGAGTGGGTGAACCCTCATGTCATTCTTTCTCCCTGTCAAAGACAAGGCTTGGGGAGATGGAGCACATGCTAGTCCTGTGGGACTTCAGTGCACGTGTGCTGAAGGGTTTTATCGAGACCTTGCTCTCTGAAATCCTCATGCAATCCAAAAGACAGTTAGTTCACTGTGGCTGGTATTCTTTGAAGGAGAGAACATAGTTGAAAATAGTTAAGATAAAAAATTTATTTATTTCCAGCGTGGCCTTAGAGGAGTTTCTCTCTTTGTGTGAGACAATGGTTTATCTAATATTTTATTTATCTATTTCATATTGGAACTACTTTGAGGAAGAACTTATTTTTAGAAAATCTGATTAATAAGCACTGAATGCTTAGGAAACCATGTTTGCAATTCAAACTCATCTTTTTGGGGCTACAAGTTAAGCTAAATAAGTTTAATCCAAAATTCATTGCGCTAACTAGAAAATTAAAGCATTTTCTAGTTTGCCTCCATGAGTGAAAATTTAAATCAAGGTAAAATAGTATGTTGAAGTGGAATAGCAATTGTATTCTGGTTCTAGGAACAAGATTATCTGCACAAGTGGATTAAATGTGCAGCTGTGAACTCTTTACTGGTGTGCTGTATTGAACTTATTTCCTTGAACTCAAGAACATATTACATACAACTGAAGTTATCCTTTTGCCTGATGCTTAAAGACCATATACATATTTAGTGCCTATTCAGGTCACTTCCAAAGATTTGCAGAAAGAAGCTAAGATCATGTTAATTAAATTAATACATCATTGACAAAGCAGTACATATCATCATGGCTAGACTTCACGAACGAAGATTTGGGAAAGGCTCTATCCACATTTGTTACAAGCACGTTGGTGGCTAATAAGGCCAATATGAGATAGACATGTCCAATTGTAAAAGGCACAGCAGAAAGACTCCTTAGGTGGTATATTCTGCAAGACACAATTCTTTCTGCATTGTCTTTTCTCCTCAAGGATGATCCTGCGTGCATTCTCAAAGGAAGCAGCAGCGTTATAGATGGTGTGTCTCCAGGCCTCCCAATTTGAGGCCAGAGTAGACCAGTTATGTTGATCAATATGGCCAAGGCTGAGATGTTGTTTCAGGGAGTCCTTGTATCTTCTCTTCAGGGCTCCTCTCTTGTGGCAGCCGGTGGCAAGTTCACCATAAAGCAGGATCTTAGGGAGGCGGTGGTCCTTCATCCTTGAGACGTGTCCTGCCCAGTGCAGCTGTGTTCTCAGCAACATGGCCTCAATACATGTGACTGCTGCTTGCTCTAGAACAGATGTATTGGTCACATAATCTGACCAGTGGATGTTTAGAATTGTACGGAGACAGTGTTGATGGAAGCATTCTAGGAGTCACAGGTGATGGCAGTAGATGACCCATGATTCGGAACCATATAAAAGAGTAGACAGCACTATGGCTCTGTAAACACTGATCTTTGTACTTTTCTTCAAGTGTTTATTACACCATACTCCTTTATGGAGTTTTCCGAAAGCATTATCATTGACAAAGTAGTACATAACAAAATAAGTAAAAACCATCTGTTTCACATGATCTACGTTTGGTTCTGACTAATGAACCATTTTTAGTGGCTCACTTCATAGACTGCAGAGTTCTATTTTGAGTTGTTTTGATTTTGTTTTTAATTTAGTTAAACAGCTGAAAATGCAGACTTTATTTAAGGGTAGGTATATAAAGCAGTATGAATTCCCAACTGCGATCTTTCGTTCTTGTTACTTGGACTTTGAATCTTTGTGTAGCTCAACTGCATGTGTTCACAGACTGATTGCTGGAAACACAGATTCTCTGACTCAAGGGCCATAAAACCACTGAAACACTGCCGATGTGCTTTACTTTTGCATATAGTTGGAGAAGTGGGGCAGATGGGGTGTCCTGATAGCTAGATTGCTCCTTGTAGTTCATATTATTGGTTTATTAGAAAGCAGAACTACATAGTGGTTTCATAGAGCATCGCAGATTATTTTAGAGAGAGAATTCATCACTATGTTCCTATGACACCTATTAGCTTTTTTTTTAGCACACAGTCTGTAAGAAGGGTGTTTTGGGGTTGTTTTCTTGATTCTAGTTTGACTTCAGTGTGATCTGATGACTGTGTAGGCTTGCTTCACTGAAGATGATGTCTTACTAATCCTGAATTTGTCAGTTACATAGAAAGATCTCAAAATCTAATTTTGTGTTGTGTGTGAAAATATATTAATTAGAAATATGGTAGTTATTTAGTATGCAACATGATGCTCATCCAACATCTGCAGAGCAGGTGTCAGTGGGATATGTGACTGACAGGAAAGATTTCTCTCTCCATGTGCATATCATAGGAACTGGACCTTGTTGAGAGTGTTCACTTCTTTAATTTAGTATTCAAACTGCTTCAGACAAATATAAACATTGCAAATAATTTGAAATCCTTCATGCCTATGGGACAATGCCTTGCATTCACAGTTGCTAAATTCTCCACTGTTTGCAGGGGAGTTGAAGCATCTGCTGCAAACAAAATCTGTGACATCAACAGATAAACAAGTGTTGAAGGTTGTTTTTTTTCTCTCACCACTTGGCATTTTCATCATGCCTCCATCTTTTCCATTGCCATCTTTCAATTCTCTGCATTCATTTGCTCTTCCATTACCTCTCCATAGTCACAGGGGGTTTAGCCTCAGATCTCTGCCCTTCTATCTAATTTGTGTGGATTTCTTGATTAAGTATACTGTGGAGACAGAAATCCTGATATGCAAACCACCAGACTAAAAGCTGGGACTGTAAATAAACATGAACATTTATATCTTTTATTTACATTTATATATTTGTGTCTTTTAGCTTTGCTATGATGATTTTCCTTCTTTTTGCTTGCATAAATATCTTGTCTAGCAAAAGCAGGTTGTTCCTGCAATGGGAATATATTGAATTAACTGTTTTGGCTTCAGGTATCTAATGTCTTTTAATTAATCACCACTGGTAGTGGGACTAATACAAAAATCCTACCTTCCCAATAACATTGGATTTCTGCCAATATTCTCATTTGTAACCATATTTCTTCCAGCAGTGTTTTAATGATTTATCTTTTAAGTAGAAAAAGTTCCATTTAAAAGCACAGTTCCAGTGGAGGAGTAGCTTTTAAATATTGAGCAAATTTGATAATAGGCACCAAAGAATCAGATTTGTATTGTAAGAAAGTCATATTATGAAGCATCTTTAAGGGTTTATTCTACAGAAATGCTGATGAAAAATTATATTCTCAGAAAATAACTCAAGCTTTCAACTTCCTTATTTTATTCAAAAGGAACATTTTAAATAATTCTTAATTTTAAGAAATATTTCAGGAGTAGATTATTCAAAGTTAAAATATATTTTGAAGAAATGGAGCCTTTAAAAAAGTAAAAGAAATTAAGAAAGGATGGGGACATCACTCTGGACTATATCTGGTTAAACAACAGGCACATTATAAATTTTCTTCAAAGAGGGAATGAATCTTACCCATGAGTTTTTGGATTATTTGTGTAGAAATATTCATACCTGTGAATGCTATTTCCATTCTGTTCCAAGAAAGCCTTAATTGCTGACGGCAATTTTTAAGGCTGCGAATTTGTCTGCATTAGACCTTCCACACTCCTAACAATGCCTTGGCCAAGCCAGTGTCAGCAACATCGAGAAACTCATCTAAATTTCCCTAGTGTAGGCAAAGCCTTAGAGCCCTAACTTATATTATTATGTAGAAAAATGTCAGTTAATTGCCTTCCTCATCATTCTGAATTCTAAATAGGTTGTGTCAGAAGCGGTAGAAATTATTGTCTCTGCCTTTAAAACA